CATGGTAAGCTAGCATCGGTTCTGCTTGACTGATGTTTCCTTTTAGTGTGCCAAGTCTACCGGATGTAAGTAGAATTCAAGCCCCTATAGTCAGAACCTAGAGTTTGTAAACAGTGCATGAGAGACAGAGATACATGTAGTATATGAGTATATAAGATACAGACTTTTTGTTTTCTTACTTTTTAGTTCTGTCTAGCGTGACTCCAGAAAACACAGCTGAATTTCAGACATAAAAAAAAAACTTGTGCAAAAGCTTGCAAAATGACAACCATAAAATCTCAGAGTTGAAAATGAGTTGCTAGTTAGTTATGAGAATGCTCCTTTTGAAACTAAATTGTTTTCTTAGAGGCTGTTTAACAATGTACTAAATGCCCATTGCTTGACCCAGTATATCATACCATACGTGCTTAGACATCGGCTGTTTGCATGAGTCACACAGATTTCTAGTGCTACCAGTCCATTTTCATTTCTGTACCTAATCACCTACACTTTTCCAGTGCTTACAGTTCGGTTCTTTCCCTGTAATCTGACAATACACCCACCACTCAAGCTGCAGGCGGCAAATCTTGAAATGAATTGAAACTGGGTAGACGGTGTCTAAACTAGCAGTCTCCTGTGGCTCACTTTGCATTTCAGAAGGTGGATCCCAGCATCCTGTTCTTGATTAAATAACTGGAGGGCCACGTTTTAGTCTCAGCATGCATACAGCTCCCTGTGAGGGGAATGGAATTCCTTGTGTACATAAAGGACTAGGCTCTTCCATATAAAATGTAAAAAGCTATCAAGAAATGGTTACAACAAAATAACACAGAGCTAGACTTCAAGGTACAAGGGTTTGATCTTACTGAAGTTAGTGGGACATTTCCAGACAAGTGTTAGAAGTGGTCAGGCTTATTTTGTTAAATTAACCTCCCTCTAGAGGCCTCATGTTAGTCGTTTGTTAGTGGTAAGGCAAATTATCTATCTGCAGTCAGTGGGATGGGTCTTGCAGAACTTAAGGAAATGCATGGTGACAGATATATTCTCTTCCAAAGAATTACTTTGTGTTACAAAAGAAGACCTTTAAAAATTGATAAACCCAAAACTTTGAAGTGCGGGAGGAGAAAATCTCTACAAATAACAGAAAGAGAATTAGTGTTGGAACTATTCAGCACAGCTATTTCAGATATTGGAGGAGCATCCTTGTGGTCAAAAATTTGTGAGATTTTGTATGAAGTGTACCTCATGTACACAACACTTTGAAGTATCTGTGCTGCCATTTAAGTTGCTGTTATGTAGGTGGTGCATAAAAGTGCTCTTGCTAATAGTGTTGCCCTGAAGACAGTTTTCTGCTATAAATCTGCCTTCACTAACGAGAACACCTGTAATTACAGAACAGGCACTTGGCTTCATTACCAGCTCCAGCCTGCAAGGGATCAGCATAGCACTGACGTCATTGCTGTCTCTTCTTATTGGCTTTATTTTGGGAGCCATATACTGGAAGGTGAGAAATATTACATTTAATTGTTTACATAGTGATACGACTTTTCGTAGCTATGGGGATCCGTGGGAAGAACAGAACCATTCTGCATTTGAAAGCAAGAGACATCTCTTTTGATCTTCACTGAACTGTGTGACAGGCAAATATAAATCTATGTTGTCAAATGCTTGAATTCCACCACCAAAGTGCAAATCCTGTCTCATCAGCATGATGGCTGTCTAATTGGAAATTAAAAACATAGGATTCCCCCAATTTCCCAGTTCTCCTATTACATATAGAGATGAGGATTCTTTTGCTGGTGCCCCTTGTGCCCCTGCCTACAATACAAAGGCTTTGAAAGTAAGATTATACCAGCAACAGATGTATGATAGAAGACAAGATTTGGCCTACATTTTGCAAGATGACTTCGATATTGAAAATTGGAAGCAAACTGAAACATACAGCAAATTTTTAGGGAGTTGTTAAAGAAAACTTTAGAATATTTATATTTGATGCATTTTCTTCCTAGAAAACACATCCCAAATCCAGACCAGAAAGTGATGAAACTACACAATGTCATGACTGTCAAGAGGAAAATGAAATAAGGTATATTGTTTCGTTTTATAGATGTATATACAAATGTAAGTTTATCTTTGAGATAAACGCTTAAACACTGCTTTATCTGATTTTTAAGCAGAAAAAAAAGTCTGTGTAACTCAGTCAATCAAATATACCTTAGAAATAATAGTTGAATACATTCAAAGTTGCTTGGACATGAGTTGGGCAAAGAAGTCCGTGAAATTCAGAAAAGGACTTAGGGGTGTATATATATATATCTCCTTACAGGCTACATTCTCCATCAGATGTCTTCTTAAATACCCGGCATATGTTTTTTTTCTCTCTCCTCCTTGAGAAATTTGTAAGACTAGGAATCTATGACTAGGAAGACCTAATAGCAAACATAAATTCTCATACTTTTCTTGTAACTAACTGATAAACCCTTCCATTCTATTTCTTTGAAACACTAGCACTGTAGTAATAAAGTACCTTTTTTTTCAGTATGTTGCAGCAAAAAGAAAAGGAACATCTACAAGTGTAGCTGTTGCTTTTTCTCTCTCAACACTGTTACTGTTTCGTGTACTGGTAAGTTGTTACGGTTGAGAGTCTTACCATAGGCTTAATAGCTTTTGGCTGGCTGCTTAAAGTGATTCAGAGTCCATTTTGGGAAAAATAAAATAAAACTTGTTATCAGTGGGCTTTGTTTGTACCTGAGATCTTTAGCAGATAATGTATCCTGTATCATGACTTTTAATCAACTTGTGGATGTTACAAAATGAAATATGCTAGAGTTCCAAAATAAAGAACAGCTACTGCTTCTCCTTTTTGGCATGACAGCCGATATGTAGGAGTCTTCATCTGTTGTCCTACAGCTGTGTCAAAGCAGCGTGACCTAAAAACACAATCCTTAAACTAGCAGGTGAGTGTAGGAGAACAGGCGAAGTGGAGATGAGCTTCTATTAATTGCTGCTTACTCATCACAGTTTACAGTCTCTGTAGCCTTATCAGATACATCATTCTTGCTTTAGTATGTGAGAGTGAACAGCAAAGGCAAGTGAGCTTTCTTGGTCCCAGCTGTCCTCTGCAGAACGGTACACATCTCTGGCAAGGGGCTTCCTCCAGCAGGAGTTGTGCTGTAATTAACCCACGGCATCTCTGGCAAGGGTCTGGAAGATTCCGGCAGTACCGAATGCTTCATTTTATACCGTGAGTGGAAAGTGCAGTGCAAGAGTGTAACAGGCAATTCAGGTTTTGCAGTTCATCCTGTAGTGGTCACTCGCAGGTGTATTCCACAGCATTCGTTGTGATCAAGTTAGCTACAACTTCAGAGACTTCCAGTCTCCTTAACTGCTTTGTTCTAACATCTGCTCACTGAGAAGGGAAGTCATCACTGCATTGGAGAAATCATTTGACTTTTCCAAAGATGTAAATAAACTCAGTTGGGTATTGGTTTGTCCAGATGACTTGAAAGGGAAGTTTGCTGCCAGAGATTGCCAGATATGAAAATGCACAAACACAACAGTTTTGTAAAACCATGAGAGTTGTTTTGTCACCATAGATGACATCAGTGAGCTTTTGCAGGCAAGTGTGTTCTTGGACCAGGAAAGTACATCTTATAACAATAACTTTTCTTTCAGAATGAAGGAATGTCTATGCAAGTGTTGTTGAATTTATCTACTTCCAAAATTACACGAAAAAATGTCTGTTACATGTCTCTGAAAATCTCTACTGTCTAGTAATACTGAGAGGAAAACTAATAGGCGAAATTATAATTTATGTTTTTCTCTTCAGGCAGGTAACAGTTCCATGTTCGCTTCATAAATGAAGCAGCTTTAAGCACATTCTTATTCCTTCTGGAGTGACAGACTGAGTCTGCATCTGTTGTTGCTGCCCATGACTCCATAGACATGATATAGAAATGAGGACAATTTGTGTTTGTTACTGTGAAACCAACACTGAATTGAACAACGACAAGAAGAGTGTGCACTTAGCAGGACTGTATCTTATGTGAATATCTACCTTGTATGGCATTTGGGGATTTTTAATTGCATTAATACTTGCAGCTGACTCTGGCAAACCAAGTACATGTCCTGAACAAAAAGCATCTTTCAAATGCCTCCAACTATGTGTAATCACTGAAAGTCATAAATACCTTTGCATCCTTAATTTAAGTTCTGTGTCCTCTACCTTACCTTGGTGTCTTCAGATGGAGTTCTCTGAACTGACAGAAAATGCAGAAATGGATACATATAACGTACTCTTCAATATTGTATATAAAACTTGAAAGCAATGTCATGCCATGGACCCGTGTTCTAGCCTTTTACTGATAAGGAGCTGTGTTTGTGCCTGGCAAAGGTCGTGTGTACAGCAACATGTGGTCTCTGTCGGATGCAAAGTGGCTGGTTGCCCACCCCAGAAAGCCTCAAGAATTCATCGCACTGGTGGTCTTTGTTCAGAAGTAATACTGGATCAAGGCAAAGTAAACAGGAGGTGAATATACCTCATGGAGCTTCAAAGCATTAACTGTAACTGCTGTGTATGTGAACACATGTGGTGGAATTTCCAGCCGTGCCAAGGGAAAGGAAAGTAAAGAGTCTGAATTGCGTTCAAACATCAGAATAAAGACAAACTCATGAAATGCATTTTAAACACTGAAGATGCATGCCATTGATACCTTGTCTTTAAATCTATAGCATAGAAAATCTGACAGATCCTGGGAGTCTATTTAGCTTTTACTTACATCAGCTGTAATTAATGTTTGTGTTGTGTTTTAAGTGATTAGTAAGCTTTAATATCCTGGCATTCTCCACTCTTAAAGTTAATTCTCTCGAAACAAAAGAGAAAGGCTTTGTTTCCCACTTGTCGTCTTCATCTGTTGCTCTTACAGCATCCATGGAATCTGTACAGGACTGATGTACAGACACACATTTTCAAGTAAATCCTAAAAATACCATGATAAAAGCTACAAGTGTAGTTGTGCATCTTTTCATCTTGGCTCTTTCCAGATATGGGGTATGAATTATTTATCTGTATTAGGGGGTTGTACTTCAGAAGGTAAAGGTGGCTCACTTCAGATGACAAATGTCATCTATCATCAAACTCACCAGGTCAGCAAGACTTTTAGTTTAAGTAACTTGAAAACCTAAAAAAACCCCAGCACCCTTTTAATGTTTTGCATAAAGTTGGAGTTCTCTTTAAAGTATATAGTTACTTAATTTTTTAAGAATACTTGCAGAAATTTTAATCAACTGCTGAATTTTTTGAGAACTATGCATAAAAAGATAACATACATATAATATATACATGTGTGTGCGTAAGTGTGTGTGTGTTTTATTGGTAAAACTGATTTGTCTTTCATACTTACCAAAAAGAAAAAACTTCTAAAACTTACAGTGTTTGATGACAGAGCTTATGTGTGCATGTAGACACTCTCTGTGGAATTTTGACCCTAACCGAGATCAATGTCAGAACATCTCATGAATTCACTGATACAAGGATTTGATCATGTGGAACTATTTTTTATTTATACTGAGGCCTTTTTGCACTTCCTGGGTGGCAGAGAAGGGTCCTCAGTTCCTGCTCAGCTGGTATAAATTAGCATAGATCCATTAACATTAACTATGGGGTTGCATCATCTGAGGAACTTCTCTTAGACTAGATCAAAAGAAGCTTAGTGTGAGAATTAGGTCTTCATTTTTATTTAGAAGATGCTTGAGCACTCACCACTTACTTAGTTAGAAATAATGAAGGTTGCTCATCACTTCTAAAAAGCAAGTGTATTCCAAATTTTAGCTCTGCAAAGATCAAAAAACCAGAATTCCCTATCTGCAGCTCAGTCTCATTTGACATTGTGTAGTTCGTTACTCACAAGGCCCTCAGACTTTGTGTTTCAAACTTGTTTAAGAGTAACCCTGAAAGACATGTCAGCATGACCTAACTGATGGAAAATTGGCATCTTGCTGGTAACGCAGAGAATAACTGCGTACTGGTTTGACAGTGGAAAAGCATCCACAGTAAATGGAAGCAATCATCCTTACATATTTTACAAAAACCTTAAATACTTCGTGTTGCTATACAATACGTTCTCAAAGCAAGCTTATGCATTTGTGGTTTTACAGTATTTTTCTTAAATTCAGTTAAACAAAAATGTTGTATTTATTAATGTTCGTTGTTCATAAGAATGTTAGTTTTCCTAAATGTGGTTTTTTCCAGACAAATCAAATACATGATAATGTTGCACATTGGTGTGCCCCAAATTATACTTTAATATTCAAAATGCACGACGGTTTAGTCTCCTTAGTCTACTGTTCAATACTGTAGCAAATACCAGTTGTAAATTGAAACATACATTAAACCTGTATTGACTACTGCAAATTGTTCACCTTCCAAGAGTAACATCTTAAAATACTACTCACTTTCAAATAATGATGTCAGATATTTTAATCTATTCTGTGGAGCAAAGCAACTTTAAAGCTACATGAGAACAGAAAGAAAATGCATATAGAAACCTTCCCGCTTCACATCACAAACATTGTTCTTTGAATGTGCACCAAAGTAGTACAACACACGGAGTAGCAGAACTGTTGTTGGAGCTCATGGTTTTCCTGTTCTCTGCACCTCCTTTTGAGAGATCTGAACAAAACATTGGGTATTCCTAATTATTTTGCAAAGCAGAAGGACAATTCTAGACATTCGTGGATATAGTGGATATCATGGCACTTGGAAATGTGATCGTGAAATTATTTGAAAGTTTTCGTGCCCAATTTGTCTTGACACTGAAGAGGCCCTTGCTATGGACATAGTGAAATTTTGAAAGATTATTGACTTGTGAGACATTTTTGAAGTCAATGAAAATATCGTAAGTTACTGTTCAGTGGGAGTAGGGATGGCAGAAATAGTCCTTTAATTGCTTCTTTATCCAGTTGTAAGCTATTTAACTTCCAAAGAGTGATCAGTTTTTCAGTCTTCTCTTTGGGTAGACAAAGACCATGCATTAACACAGTTAGAAAACAAACACCCTTTCTATTAAAATGAAACTGGGGAAAAGTGAATGTTGTATTTTTTATACAAAAGTCAATCAATCAAATTTGTTTTTCAGATATCTGTGGTTTTGTAAGAAACTAACATTTTTAGGTTTCCTTTGGAGTAGTTGAACTTTGCATGCAATTAATAGTGGCCTTGTGAGAATAAAAGGCAGATAGTGATATACTGAGTAACTCAATGTGCTACTTTAGATGTGTGTTTACTTGAATAAATTAATGGTACTTAATTCATCACACGGTCATTTTATAAGTAAGCTTATAAAATGCGCTATACTATGGAGTACGTGTACAACCTGCACATTTTTTAGATTCTGATCTTCACCAGCTCCGTTTTCTCTGTTGCTCTCTCTTTGTAATGTGCTGAAACAGTTCAGTACACACAATACAACTATTAAATTGAAAAGCTAACTGTATATATAAAATACAGATATTTTGAGTTAGATTTTTGTTTAAGAATTATCCAACATTCTTTAATTCAGAAATCTGATTCAACTGTCTA